ATCCTCCCCTCCCCTGAGAGAGAAGGGGGCAGGCAAGGGAAGGGCCGCAGAGGTGCAGACTGAGCAGGGCCTCCAAGAGCACATCCAGCGCTGGCGCAGCCCAGCTCTCCTCCCCTCACAGGGTATGTCTCTCCCCACCTTCAACTCCCACCCCGCTGTCTTGCCCACCAAGTTCCAGCCCCGGGGCCTTCTTTCCTTGGCACTGGGGTCACTGGGCTGGTTCACCTGCAGCCCGGCATTTACACTCTCGTCCCGGAACACTGCAAGGCTGGCCCCCTTCTCCTCACTCGGACCTCAGCTCATAGATGACCGCCTGGGGCAGTCTCCTTTCACCACCCCTTCCGAAGCCCTCCCCTCTCTCCCCCCCTACGCTGCCGCATACAGTAACCAATAACCACATGGGGCTGTTTAATGTGTAATTAATTAATTAACAAATTAATTAGGACACTATTTAAAATTCAGTTCCTCGGCCACACGAGCCACATTTCAAGTGCTCAGTAGCCACATGCTGGCTACTAATATTGGACAATGCAGATACATACATGCTGCTGAAGCGAGCACTGGACAATGCAGATATAGAACATTTCACGGAAATTCTACTGGACAGCACTGCTCGTACATTTTATTATCTTCTTAGTATTTATCACTATTTGAACCTTTATTCGTTTACTTATTTGTTGTCTGCCTTCCCCTCCTAGAACATAAATTGAAGACAAGGAGTACGATCCTCTTTTTTACCACTGCATCCCCAGTGTTTAGTATAATAGCTAACATATCTCTGAACTAGACATTCAAGAAATACTCACTGGGAAGGTATTTTTTGAACACCTGCCAAGATTAGGATTAGTTGTCCTCTATCAGAGGACAGAGGCCACCCTGAGACTCTCTTGTCCATCTGGGAGGAAACGGACCTGACTGTCCTCCGAGTGTTGTGTGATGGCACTGGTACCTTCCTCTGCCAGTTCCCTCCACGACTCCCCACCCCCAGCTCAGCCGCAGGGGAGAACTTCACCTGCCTTGTGCCCCCTGGTGGGGGCGGAGGGGGAGTCCCAGGGGAGCCACGGAAGGTTTTATTCACTTCAGGAAAAAGACTCTCCCTGGACCTGGGAAAGGCAGAGCAGGGCATGGGAGCAGGTAGAGAGGGGCTGCCCAGGGCAGGGCGAAGAGCAGGAAGAACAGTGACCCACCGACCTGGGAGTTTTAAATGTGCCTGAGATACCCCTCAACAGAGAACCACCATCCCGCCCCCTCCTCCCTTCCATACCTTGGGCTTTGCTTTGGCCTGCCTTGTAAGTTTCCCAGTAAAAGTTTACTTGAAAAAGTTCAGCTTTGTCCCCGATGACTTGAAAGGTAGAAATGTGAGTGGGGCATACTCTGGGATCAGGGACACCTGGGTTCCAATCCTAGCTCTGAAGCTCTGTGAACTTGACAACTGGACTCTTCAAAACTGTTTTCCCTCCTGTAGGTTGAGGGATTTAAACAAGATGGTGCAGGTGCAAGGCATAGCATGGTCCCTGGCACACTGTAGGTGTTTTGTGATTGATAATTCTCTTTTTTCCTTTTTCTCGCTATCTTGGGTCCAAAGACCCAGAAGAGTAGATGACCCTTGAAGAGAGCAACTCTGTCAACCAGAGAAACTGAGAAGAGCTTCGAGCTAGAATAGAAAGATAAAAATGCCAAAAATCACGGAGAAACAGAGAGAGGTGGAATTCAGAAAGGGTTCAGAAGGACTAGCTGAGGCTGCAGCCCTTCCTGCCCTTGGCTTTTCCGTCTGAGACCAGGTCTAGTGCATGTTACCAAGGATAAGAAACAGCTCCATGAGTGACCTCTCGGTCAAGCACTGCAGAAGATACTGTCCTTTTTAAATATTCAAATCTGCAGGGAACCAAGAGGGCTGAGGGCTCTGAGTTCCCTCCAGGACACCTGGGCTCAAGAGTCCCCCAAAACATAATTGCCCTGTGGCCAGACTGACCAGATTCTGAGAGCCACATAACCTCCCTGCTTGTCTGAACTCAAGGAAGACCCGTGTCTGTTCAGGCTCCTCTCCTGAAGACCCGTGTCTGTTCGGGCTCCTCTCCTGAAGACGCATGTCTGTTCGGGCTCCTAAGTTTGCTTGGCCGTGTTGCTTTTCCTCCACTGTTACTTAGATTCTGATTTTCTGTTCTTGGGTTAATGGATATTTGTTTTGCTGAACCGATGAGCCTTTTGTAAGTCTTCTATCCTTTGAAGGAGGAGGGGGCAAACAAAGAAGCGAGGGCTAGCTCTCCATCTGTGGGACATTCTTTCTTATCCAACGGATAAAGGGAATACAAAGAAAGGGAAATGAGGGGGGGGGGCAAGTTGGGGGATGGACAAGGCAACCAGCAGCTGTCAACACCAGACACACAGCTGGGGAGGAGCAGGGCTGCTCTACAAATCCAGGAGTGTATGGCCAATGCCTAAGGAACAGAAGCAGCTTCTACGCTCGGGTTGTGGGTCTCCCAGAGTGGGGAAGGGGTCTCAGAGGAAAGGAGGATCTTACGGAGAAGAGCAGACCTGGTTCATCAGACCAAGCGCCAGGTGCCAAGAGCCTGTTAGCGCTCTGGGACCCAACTCCAAGTCAGTGCTCCGGGCGCCATCCAGTGGCCGCTAGGGAGACTGCAGGAGGAAAGAGCTGGCGAGGAAGGAAAAGCCAGAGAAGGCAGTGCTGGCCGGTTCTGGGCAGGAGGGAAGGAGGGAGCCGCTCTTTGCCCTCAGTGCTCCCCTCATCAGTTGAGGACTCGCTCCTAATCAAACTCCCCAGGCCGCTGCCTCACCCGGCTGGGGTTCTTTCACTGCGTGACCCTGGGCAGGCAATTCTGCCCTCTACACCTGGTGTGCCGATGAGGTAACATGCCAGGCACCTTGCTTAGCACTTCAGCTCACCTGCCGTTCCTGTGTGGGGAAGATCTCAGTCACCCTGCTCCCCCATACTCCAGTCACTCCTGACCACACACATTCATGCCCAGCAGGAACTCCAGCCATGGACTAGGTCTGGGCTCCTGGGCTCCTCCTCCAGGACCTCTCCCTGCTTACCTGCCCTTACCCACCTGTTCCACACCTGAAGGTCCCTCCTTCTGCTCCAGCAATAGTCAGGTGCACCTCACCCCCTCAGCCCTGAGCTACCCGCCCACCTCCCCTGCCATGGGCTTTTCTCACTTATGTTTCTCCCTCTTCAAGCCTAGCAAGGTGCCAGGCGTAGACATGCTTCAGAGGTCTGCTCTGAGGTCAGGCTGTGGGGCTTCAGACCCATGTGTCGGCAGAATAACGCCCCCCCCCAAAGAGGTCCACACTCTAATCTCTGGAACATGTGAATATGTCACCTTACGTGGCAAAGGGATTTTGCAGCTGTGATGAAGTCAGAGACTGAGATGGGGAGATTAGCGTGGATTATCTGGGTCAGCCCAGTATAATCACAAGCATCCTTGTAAAGTGGAGACAGGAGGGTCAGAGTCACAGAAGGAGGTGTGACGCCAGAAGGAGAGGTGGAGGTGACACCAGGCCACAAACCAAGGAAATTGGGTAGGCTCTAGGAGCTGGAAAAGGCAAGAAGACAGAAGCTTTCGGAAGTAGTGCAACCCTGCCAGCCCCTTTTGTTGGACTTCTGACCTCCAGAACTATAAGGTAATGAATGTGTGTCGTGTAAAGCCACTGAATTTGTGACAATTTTGTCCCAGCAGCCATAGGAAACTGGTTCTGCTTCTTACTAGTTCTGCGACCTTGGGACACTTACTTCACCTCCCTTTGCCTCAGTTTCCTCCCTGTAAAATGGGGATGAGAAAGGCAATCATTCCTACCTCATAAGGTTGTCTGAGGATAAAATGAAAACATTTGCAAATCACTTGGAGTAACGCCCAAGACAAAATATGTTAACTATTATTATAAGATTAATAGCTACCGTTCATTGAGGGCCTAATAAGTACCAGGCACAGTTCAGATGCCTTGGAATAACTTTCTCCATTCTCACCATCACACTTGGGGGTAACAGTTTCAATCCCCATTTTACAGATAAGGAAACAAACCCAGAGTAATTGGCCAAAACCTAGAGAAATTGAGTATTTTAATCTTAGCAATTTCTTACATGCACTTGGGCTCTTTCCTGATAGAGGGGTTGGCTTTTGCTTTTGTTTTTGTTTCGGAGGGTGCGGGGGGGGGGTGGTGGTGAAGAGGGTGGGTCACAGCCTGAGCGGCAGCGCTGGCCACAAAGCCTGACCTCCTCTTCTTCCTTCATAGCGCAGGAGGGACATAAAATCCAGGCGACACTCACCTATCCGCCCCCACCCCGTCCATTTAGGGGTTCATGACTGTCTCTCCCTTCCTCACCAACTCCCTGACCCAGTTCTAGCAGCTTTTCAGCCCGATCTGGGGGGCACCACGAGATAGGCACGGCCAGAGAGCGAAGCGCTACATCCTCCGGGGGATGGAGGGGCGCAGTCTTGCTCAAACCCCGAGGGTTCGCGCTGAGCCCCCTCCCTTCCCGCAGCCCGCATAAGGAGCCGTCTGTTCGCGGCTGAATAAACAAGGGGGGAAAGCAGCGCCTGGCCCCCTGCCCCCCAGCCCGACCCCCGCACAATGCGCCTTTCTCTGAGGAGCCGTCGTCCGGGCGCCTCGGGAGCGCCCGGCGTCTGGCCTCCCCTCCCCGTGGCGGCACAGCAAGACCCACAAACCGACCCCGTGGAAACCAAAAAAAAGAAAAAAAATTTTTTTAAGAAAATGAAAACAAAAAGGAAATCCAACAAAGAACTGAGCGCAGCACGCAGCGAGGGCGTGCGGACCTAGCGCGCCCCTCGGTCCCCCCGCAGTCCGGCTTCTGGTCCAGGCGAGGCCAGCTCGAGCGCAGCGCTGGGAGCCCGCCAGCGCGCCCTCCCCGACAGCCCAAGTCCTCGGGGCCCCGGAGCTGCCCGGCCCCGGCGCCCCGACGGCGCCCCGAGGGCACAGTCCACGGGGCCGCGCCCCTGCCCGGCTCCCGGTCCCGGCGGCCCTCACTTCTGGGTGGCCAGCTGGTTCTCCAGATCCTCCAGGCGCGCCGTCAGCTGGGCCAGTGAGCAGTTAAGGAAGCCGCTGGGGGTCTCGGGGGTTCCTACACCCCACCCCCACCCCCAGCCCGGGCCCCTGGGCCGCGGGGCCCAAAGGATATGGTTCTGCGTCAGCCTCTCGAGCGCCCCCAGCGTGCGGCCCTGGAACTCCACGAGGCTTTCGCATTCGCACGGGCTCCGAAGCTCTGTACCTGGGCCGATGCCCTCCTCTGCCAGCCGGGCGCAGAGAGTCAGGGGAATGAGAATCTGCAGGAGGGGCGAGCGGGCCCTGGCAAGGCCCTCCGCCCCTCCACCCGCCTGTGGCTGAGTATGTGGGCTTCGCATTCAAACAGACCTGGGATGAATACCAGCTAGGTCGCTGTGAGATACTGAAAAACTCACTCAACCTTTCTAAGCCTGAGTTTCCTTGTCTGGAAAAACGGATACAATGAGAAAAGCTATTCATTGGGTGGTGCTGGGGATTCTATGGGGTGTGTGTGAGAGAGAGAGAGAGAGTGTGTGTGTGTGTGTGTGTACACATCTTAGAAGAGTATTTCTCAAACCTTAGTGCTCACTGGAATCACCAGATCTTGTTAAAATATAGATTCTGATTCTGAATGGTGAAGGAGCTGAGACTCCACGTTTCTAATAAGCTACCAAGTGATGCTGACGCTGCTGGTCTGTGGACCACACTTTGAGGTGCAAGGGTCCAAATGACAGCAGCACTCTCCAGGTGAAACTTCAGGCAGTGATGGCAATATTCTGTTGCTGGTCTGTCCAGTGCCAAAAACACAAGCCATATGCAGCTATTTAACATTTGAAATGTGGCTAATGTGATTAAAGAACTAAAATTTTTAACTTTTTAAAAGTAATTTAAATTAAGTGGGCACATGTACCTTATTAGAGAGGGAAGATCTAGTGTACTACTTAGCTCAAGTATACACTTTATTGTGTGTTTCAACTAGACCAGTAATTCTCAAAGTGTGGTCCCTGGGCCAGCACCATCACTATCACTTAGGAAGTTATTAGAAATGCAAATTATCAGACTCAAGCTCAGACCTACTGAATCAGAAACTCTGGGGTTGGAGCCCAGCAAATGGTGTTTTAACAAACCCTCCTGGGTGAATCTGATGCACCCTGATGTTTAAAAACCACTGGTACAAACAAACAAAAAAACCACTGATCCAAGTTTACCTCCACACACATTCTAGCATTTCTGAAATCAAAATATGTGCCTTACAATTAAATTTGGCACCTATTTTTTCTTAGCAGTAAATAATAATGGATAGTCTTACAATGGATGGTATCTTAGATCCGCCAAAATTTTGTAAACGTGTGCCATTTTTCATATAACAGCACAATACCTGGTGCTTGGCCTTCACAAAAGAGTTGCTCTTACAATTTAAGAGCGATCTCTTAGTCTCATTGGACCCTTAGCAAATTGCTGTACGATATGTCATCAATGGTCTTGATAACAGTCCTGCAAAGACTCCTAACTTCACAGCTGGGGAAACCAAGGGCCAGAGAAAAGGAAAGTTCTGCCCAAGGTCATAGAGCTGATGGTGAAGAGCCTCAACCGTAGAGCCCAGATTTCTCCAGGAATTTTAGAGCTGGAAGCAAGCTTGGGCAGCCAGCGCCCTCCCCTGTTACAGAAGTGGGACTTGATGGTAGGGGTGGAGGTTAAGTGACTTGCCCAAAGTCACACTTCGGGGTACATAAGAGTCAGGACAGGAAGGACCCTCACAGAGAAACGAATCCGGTGCCCCCGTAATATCCTAGCTAATTATCAGAGTTAGCCTAGAGACGGGGGGGTGGAGAGGGAGAGAGGTAGGTAGGTGTGTGTGTAGACACATGTATGTATACACACACATATATTTTTTAAAACGATTTTTTTTTAAACTATCGATTCTCTAGGCCAGCCCTGCTCTACTGAACCTAGCTCTAGAGGGGCCTGGTAATGTGAAAGAGTCACGTCTCTGGCCTGGGTTAGAGTCTAAAGACTCTGCGGTGAAAATTCCCCCCGAGAAGTCCCCTATATGACCTATAAAGTACAGTACACAGGCTCAACAGCCCACTTCTCCTTCACAGAGAGAGTTGGTCCCTTTTTCTTCAACTGAGCACCAGATGAAGTGGATGGATTGAATTTATGGGCAATATTGAAAAAAAAAATACATGTCTTTGCGTACTTGGAACACTCTCAGTCCTGCCACTTTGCCAGGTCTGTGTAGTTGAATTCCAACACGTTAAAGGAATATGTGATGTGACTCTGCTAGCAAGGAGTTTGGCACGCCTTTGAAAAAGTTTCCTACAATTACTGTGAACACCCACTAATTTGAGGGGCAGGTAGCCAGCCCAGTGGAGTACTGAACTTGGACGTTCTTGGGAATCACCCGAGGGTCTTGTTAAAGTACAGAATCTGATTCATTCGGCCTGGAGAGCTCTGGAAATGCTCGCTGTTCTAACAAGCCTCTGCCGCTGGTCCATGGACCCCACTTTGAGTAACAAGGCTCTGTGTAATGAGTCCGGACCCCGGCTATAACTCTACCAAGGGGATAGGGGTGGACAGAAGGAGGAAAGCTAGAAGGCTGGGCACTGAGTGAAGTCAGAGGCACTCACCCGGGCAGATGCTGCCTCTGAGGTCCTCCAGCAGGTGCGTCATGGTGCCAAAGTCGGGAGAGTAGGACACGTGCAGCTCCGCGGGCTCGGAGGCGATCTGGCGCAGCTCCTCTTCCACTGCCTTGCCCACGCCCACGGCGTACATGACAATGCCTACAAGGCAGGGCGCGGGGACACAGGGGGCGCCCCAGACCTCAGTTAAGACCCCCTCCGGCGTCCAACCCAACCCCAGGCCAGTGCGTCCCGCGCCAAGCCCACCTTCCTCCTTGGCGCGCGCGGCCCACACCGAGACGTCATCCTGGGAGCGGCCGTCGGTGAAGACCAGGCCCACGCGAGGCACGTTGAGGGTGCGGGGCCGTGCGCCTTGCGCCTCGGAGAAGCTGTGCTCCACCATGTGGCGCAGCGCCAGCCCTGTCATGGTACCGCGCTCCATGTATTCCACGGCCAGGACCGCCTGCTTGACCTCGGCCGCCGTGCCGTAGCGGCCCAGCGGGAACTCGGTGCGCACGCGGCTCGAGAACTGCACCAGCCCCACGCGGGTGCCCTCGGGGGACACGTCCAGGAAGTCCACAATCTGATTCACAAAGCGCTTCACCAGCTCGAAATTCTGCGGGCGCACGCTCTTGGAGCCATCGACGAGCAGAACCAGGTCCACGTGGCCTTCCCGGCATCCTGCAGAGTGAGGAGAGCTTAGATTGGGAGCCAGATCCTGGCCTGGCAGCAACCATCTCCCCACTGGGTCATTCACATTTATTACACAAGAGGTACCGTGTGTGTGTCTGTCTGTGTGTGTGTGTGTGTGTGTGTGTGTGTGTGTAGTCCTTCCTGTGCCAGGCACTGTACTAGATAATAATAGTAATATTAATAAATTAATAAAACTTTATGACAATAATAAATTTATCAACAATAATATATATTGAAAAAGTATATGTTGCTAATATATAAACAATCACAATAATAAATAAAAACAAAAACATTATTATTTGACAGCTTACCATGTGCCAGGTCCTGGGCTAGGTGCTTCATATATTTTTTCTCAATCCTCCCAATAATCTTGCGTGGTATCCCCAGTTCATATAACCTTAGGTTCTGAAGCATAAGGTAATTTGCTCCAGACTCCACAGCTCGTAGTGGCTGAGCAGGATTTGAAGCCAGGTCTGTCTGACCCCAAAACCCATGCTCCTGAATCACTCTACAATGTTACCTCCTCTGTTCTGAATCAGGGACTTCGCTAGGCCCTGAAGGGGGTTCAACAATAAATGAACAACCTTGACCCTAAGGAAATCAGGACAGAACAGAGCAGTCAGACATGCCCTATGCTGCAGCCAAGGAAAGTGCTCGAATAGAGGGGCATGTAAGGAGCCCAAGGTAGGAATAATTCACTCTTCCTGGAGTAGGCAAGGAAGGTTACATGGAGGTGGTAGTAACATTTGATGTTCCCCGAGGATGAGCAGGTGTGCTAGCAGACCTGCTGACGGGGTTGGCTGAGATGAGGTGAGGCAGTGGTTTCAAAATTTTGACCACACCCCACAGTAATGATAATAATACAAAAGGACACACTTGAATTTTGAATTTCATGAAACAATACTTACTCTTTCCACATGCAGTAAGCTCTATTTTCTCCTTTTTTTAAAAAAAGAAAAACTAATTTGATTTCATTATCCACTAATGTGGCTGCACCCACCATCTGAAAAACTCAAGGTGTAAAGCATCTGAGCTCAGGGGTAAGCACAGGCAAGCCCAGAAGACTCTCGAGGGAGGGAGAAATAGGATCAAATGTGTACTTTTGACATTAACCTTGGCAGCAGGGTAGAGGATTAAAGGGGAAAGAGATGGAGGCAGGACACGGCACGCCCTCCACTCCTCACCCCACCATCACCAACACACACACATTCACAGCGTACCCTTGGGCCACAGCAAGGGCAGAATCGAGGATGCTCAGAGTGTGGGCAGTGGGGCAGGGGCAGACAGAACACCCTCCCAGCCGTCACTCACGGTTGCAGCTCTTGCCATCTGCTTGGAGTTGCTGGCCCTCAGGGCACAGACAGTGGTAAGAGAGGCCCTCACTCACACACTGGAACTCACATCCATGGTCTACACCATTGCAAAGGTCCCGGGCTTCAAGGAGAGACAAGTCAGGATGAGTCAGGGTGGACTCCCCCAGCCAAGATCCCTTGCCCCTCTGCACAAATACAGGAGACCCCTCCTTACCCTCACAGCTCTTCCCATCGGGCAGCAAGTCGTGGCCCTCTCTGCAGTGGCACCGTGGCCCAGCAAAGGTGCTAACACACTCGTGCTGGCAGCTGTGGTTCCCAAAGCTGCAGTGGTCAATGGCTGGTGGGAAGGAAGAGAGAGAGCAAAGGTATAGCTTCTGACTGGAGCCATCAGGGACCTCAGTCCAGGATGCTAGTGGTAGGGTGCTCACCCCTGCAGCTTCTCTGGTCCTGCTGGAGTACAAAGCCAGCTCGGCAGCGACAGAAATAGGAGCCTGGGGAGCTGATGCAGTGGTGCTCACAGTCTTGGGTCCCTTGAGTGCACAGGTCAATGACTGAGGAAGAGGTGAGGTCAGCATATGCCCTGGGTGGGGCTGCACTTCTCAGCCCCAACAGAACAATCATCTGAGGAGCTTTTTAAAAATACCTATGCCTGGGCCCCAACCCCTCAAGATCCTGACTGGGTGACCCAGGCGTCTCTGATTTCTACAAGCACAGGCCTCCTTCCTAGTGGGCCAGGTGGCTCTCCCAACTCAAGGCCCAGCTGCATCCCAATGTGCCCGTTGCTAAGCCAGGCATAAGAACAAGAATCAACAATTGTAGAAGACAGGTTCCCTGCCCTCAAGATGCCCACTGACTTATGGAGGAGAACCAGGCTCTGCCACTACCTACTGAGCCTCTGTTTACCCATCTGCAAAATGGGAATATAATGGAAGAGTGCAATTGCTATTTATAGCTTCCTTCTAAGGAGGGTGAGCTATCGCCTGATGAGTATCTTGATGGTGTAGATGTGCAAAGACAGCCCAGAGCTGGAAAATAGGGACTGGGGAGATGCCGATTGCCCTGCACGAAAAAATGAGAATTTGGGGTTCCTAGAGAAGAGATGGGAGTGAAGAGAGGAAGAGCAAGAGAGATAGTGAGAGCATGAGTACCTGTGTGGGCTGAGGTTGCCAGTGAAAAATCACTCGTAATGGGGTGACAGGGCTTTGGGATCAGGGTATCTAATATGAAACTATTAACAGTAGGTGTTTCTTTTGTGTATGTACGTTTGACTTCACTTAGGTGTAATGCACACCTCTGGCCACCGCCATCTTTAGTAAAACGGACATATGCGTGACTTACCTATAAACACACACATGCCCTTGTGTGCCTAAGTGTGCAAACCAAGGAAGAGGCTGATTTATATGCATAGAACAAGAACAGCATGTGCGGGTTGAGAAATTGAGCGAGGACCCATAAACTGAATGAATTCAGCAGAAGCTCAGAGTGAGAGGTGACCATAGAATGGAAGCACTTGGGGAATTCCCAGAGATGTTGGGGAAAGATTCAAATGTTCAGAGGTCATCACATGAGGCTTCAAGCCAGTCTTTTCTAAGTTCTAGAAACAAGAAGACCCCAGCCGACATCTGCATTATTGGGAACACATGACTTATTTTCCCCAGTTGTCATGAGATTGAGAGATGATGTATGGAAAGCTTCAAGTGCATTGTCCAATACTAAATCAGCACTCCGAGAAGAGTAGCTGCCATCATGATCAATGGAGTGGACACACATTCACAGGAAAAAGCAAATCCCAATTGTATACGGGAGGCATAGTGTGCCATAGCTTTTCAGGAGACAAAATGAAGAACCAGGCCTTGAAGCATTTGCAGAGAGAAGCAGCAAGGGTAGCCCAGAAAGAGCTGAGATGCAGGGGCAGAAACGAGCAATGTATATAGAGGGGTAAGGAGGGGTATGGAGACCCTAACTGAAGACCCCAACAGTGAGTGTCTAAGTAACAGAAACAGTAAGAAGATATGCACGTGAGAATTCACAAACAAGTTTGGGAGGCATATTGGAGGCAGGTAGGAGACAAGCCTGAAATAAGAGAGACAATGATGTAGAAAGCACACTTAACCTTAGGGGTCAAGATTTCACCAAGGAGTTGTTTGGCTGCAGGCAATACCTTCCCTTTCTTAGACCCATAAAGTAAGGGCGCTGAACTTTTACTTCCAAAAGCCCTTCCAGACTCATTGGTCTGATGCTGGGGCAATGGGGAGCCACAAAAGACTCAGGAGCAGCGAGACTGCAGGGCGGGGGCAGCTCTCACCCAAACAGCTCTTGTTATCTGCAGCTAGCTGGTAGCCAGGGTTGCAGGCACAGTGGAACGTGCCTGGGGTGCTGACACATTGGTGCTGGCAGCCGTGTCCCCCCTCAGCACACAGGTCCTTTCCTGAGGACACACAACAGTAGAATCAGCGAGGGACGGATGGGCAGAACCCTCCAACAAGGAAAAGCTGGGTGGGGTCAGAGGCAGGCACCGAGCTCGAAGACAGCTTTAGTTGGGACAAGCCTCATTTGAGAGGGCCAATCCAGATGGAAGGGCTTAGGGAAAGAATAGGGCCTGAGTAGCTCCTATGAATAGGCTCAGCAGGGGTCACCGGGCTAGATGCGTCAATGGGATAGGGCAGGAATGCACAGGGGGTAAGGCAGAGGAGGTAGAGAGGTACTAAATCAAGGTGGGGGGGGGAATAGTTCAAGCTGTGACTAGAACAGACCTGCAGCATTGTGGGAGGAATCAAAACGAGGGTGGGCGGGGGCCATGCCCATGTGGGCAGGACATGACTCTTTCGGGTGGGCCATTGCTCTCAGCTTTGAAAGGCGGTGCTTTTTGTGTCAAGGGGCGATTTTGGAGTTTGACCTTAGGCCTTGGTAAACCACCACAACAGCTCATCCGGGTGAGCAGGCACGCTAAATGTTGCTTCTTGTGGGCGAAGCCTAAGCAAAAGTGGGCAGAGCTGCAATGTGACAGCCTGAGGCAGCCCCGCACGGCTCCACTACCTGGTGGGCGGGGCTAGCGCTAGAGTGGGCGGCGCCTCCCGGGACCGGAAGTTATTTACGTGGTGGGAAGGGGCGTCTAAGCGCCTGGGAAGTCCGCGCATCGCTCCAGCGCTCCCCTGACTCACCACACAGCCGGCCCTGGAACTGCAGGCCAAACTCCTGGATAAGATCGAAGGACTCAACGAGGAAGACGTGCTCGTCCAGCGGGGGAGACGCCATGGCCCGCAGGGAGCCCACGTCGGCGCGCTGCACCCCCACTGCGTAGATCTCTATGCCGCGGGCGCGCGCCTGCGCCGCCACCTCAGCCACACGATCCTGGGGCCGCCCGTCGGTCACGATGACAGCGATGCGCGGGACGCGCGCCTCCGGGGGGCGCGCGCCCTCGGCCACACTGAAGGCCACGTTCATGGCGTACTGGATTGCCAGCCCTGTCATGGTGCCTTGAGCTAGCGGCACCAGCGCGCGGATGGCGCGCTCCATATCCTCGCGGCGCGAGAAGGCGCCGAGCGGGAAGACGCTTTGCACTTGACTCGAGTACTGGATCACGCCGACGCGCGTGGCATTGGGCCCCACGTCCAGGCCGCGGAGGAGGCCCACCAGGAACTGCCGCATGGTCTCGAACTCAAAGGGGCGCACGCTGCGCGAACTGTCAATCACGAACACCAAATCCAGGGGCCCCGACCGACACCTGGGACCTTCGAGGAGATCAGGAGGGACTTTCCTAGATCTGCAAAACCTCATATTGGAGGAGATCCCCAGGGAAACCCAGGGCAAAATAGTGCTATCCCGGCGTTAACAGCGCCTAGCACAGAATTAACCTGACAAATGTGAGTTAGGTACATTCACTCATCCAGCATTTGCTAAGGGCCTGGGCCAGATTTCCCCCAATTCTCTATCAGCTATTAGGGCTATTCTGAGGAGGTATTCTCCAATTCGGGAGTGGGCGAAGGGATGTGTGCAAACTCAAATGTCTATAGGGGACCAGGCAGGCAACATAAATGAGTGAACTGGTTGGATTAGGTTGGTGGACACCCGTAACCCTCCTCCAGCCAAATGCTGCCATGCAGCCATGTGGACCCCAAGTTAACAGAGCCTTGGGTTTTTCAGGAGAAGTCCCAAATCGGGAATTGTATGTGAAGTCTCCTGATTTTTCAATTAACTTTTTAAAATTAAACACCAAATGGGCGTTTTTGCATGAGCCCAACTTTGTCACCTCTAAGCCACATCCTACAGATAAGGAAACTGAGTCCCAGAGAGGGGAAGCTGTGAACTAGTACCCCGCCTCTTTATGATTTCAGAGCCTTTGCTTTTTCTCTCCCCAGCAGACCTAGCTGCAGATGGAGAACCAGCTTTTGCTCCCTTCCCCCTGTTGGTGAGGGCTGAGCCCCACTCACCTGCAAACTGGAGCTGGGTTTCCCAGGGCTGGAGAAGAAACAGCAACATGGGCAGTGGCGAGCAAAGAAGGCCCCTCATGGCGCTTGGGTGGCAGGGAACGGAAGTGTCGGATCCTGGAGGGTGCAAGGAAAAAGGCAAAGCAATAATATTTACGGAACTCTTATTCTGGGTGATGGGCACTTGGAGGGGGAGAAGGATCATGGATTTCTTTTACTAATCTCTCTACCTTTGTGTATATTTGAAGTTTGTCATAATAAAAAAAGTACTGCGTTACAGTGCTGGGAAATACAAGGAATTCTACTTTGCAGAATTGCAGAATAAAAAATAAATAGAAAGTAGATTTTTAAAATATAACATTTAAAAAGAAAAAGCCCCCCTCAAAGAAAAGAAAACCAAAAATAAATGAAAAAGAAAAAATGCCTTTCTAAATACCGAGCACAGTGTTAAATGCTTTTCATGCATTCGGACATTTAATCCTCTCGGCAATTCTCGCTACCGTACAGTCCTATGCTTAAGTGGTTCCAAAGATCCGTTCCGCGCGCTCTCCTCCTGGGAGAACCTCTGCAGACGAAAGCCAGCCGTTCCCCACCTCGACCCCCTCCTCTGCTCACACAAGGCGCTTCTATGTGGCTGTCGTTCCAACACGCGCGCGCGCACGCACACACACACGCACGCACACACTCAGACATGCACCGCCCAGCCTCAGGCCGCCGAGCAGAGACGCGCCTTTTCACGGGGCTGGGGGGTTGGGGACCCTCAGCACGTAGGCCAAAACCCACCACGCAAGTTTGGCCCCCCTGTTTCCCTCCTGCTCTCAGGAGAGGCCGCCAGGGGGCGTCTTCCTGGGACTGGCTGCGTTGGTTGGGTGGCCGTGGGAAGCCCACATCTGCCTAGCAGGTGTCCCTGCCCAGAGCAAACAGTGGCCGGGAGCCCGGAGGCCTTGGAGATAAGCCCGGGGCAGGATATATCCCGCACGAGGGCCGAGGAGCAGGGGCGCACAGGGTTCCGGGGACAGCTGCATTGGATTCGCCCGGAGGGCGGTGAGTGAGGCCCGAGTGCGGCCATGGACCCTATACGGGCAACAGGTGAGCGCTCACTCTTCCACTGCCCTTGGCGACGCCCCTTGATAATTCCAAAGGATTCCCGTGTACAGATGGGAAAATTGAGGCCCGAGAAGGCTGCCCGCCGAGGTGCAAAGGAACCTGCGACTAGAACCTGGGACTCCTGGCTCCCCTTCTTCCTTCTGGGCTGCCTGGCTGCCTAGCAACCTGGCGCCTAGGAGTCACTAAACCTCTTTTCCTTACATTCACTCCCACTGCTCTGTACCCCGCTCCACCCCCGCCCCATGCTGAAGCTGCGTTAGCCATTTTTCTGTTGCTTGTTTCTTGGCGGAGGGGACCAGCTGCCCTAACCCAACCGCAGCCCCTCTACCCCCCCCCCCAATTCCGTGAATGGGCCTATTCTGAGCAAGGTTGGCTGCCTGCAGCTCACTCACTCCAGGCGGCCTTTCCGATCCTCTCCGCCCTCGCCTTTCAGGCCTGGTGGAAGAACAAAAATCCCTCTGGCAGGGCCCGTGGTGGGAGGTTGAGTAAGCCAGATGTGTCAGCTGCCACTGGAAACTGGAGGGTGCAGAATGCCTTTCCCTAGCTTGGGCCATAGCCAGGGCCAGAACCTCTGGGGAGCATGGGGGTCAGGACAATGGGGCCTTTGCCACCTCCTGTTCTTTCCCACCTGCAGAAGCCTCTGGGCCCTCAAATCTTGATTAGGATTCCCCCTTATCCTGCTGTCGGCCTGAGGCCACGTGTCGCCTGGCACCCCACCGCCACCCCAGGAATCCTAGAGAGTCAAAATAGAGACTGCCTCAAAGTCCATCACCTTCCCAACCCTCTCGTTCCACTCAGGGATAAATAAGGTCCAGAGACTAGTGTCTTGCCCAAGGTCACACAGCAACGTGGTGACAGGTCTGACACTAGAGCCCTGAGCTCCTCTGAGGGGTTAATCCTAAAGTTAGGAAGATTCGGAAATGCCTGAGGGTGGGGAGACTGGGCTCGAAAGGCAGGAGAGGTCTGTGAATAACTGAAGAGTTGGCTGAAGAATAAACACCGTGGGGACATTCTTGGCGGTTCTTCGAGGGAGGAGATTAAGGGAAAAGTCCCCCTCCCCGTGGTGGCCTTGTTGGTGGGGGCTCAACTTGGAAAGGACCCCACAGAAGTGAAGAAGGTCACTGCAAGTCAGATGGGGGCACCGTCAGTGGTACAGCCGCGGTTAAATACGGTCGCCCGGTCAGGCTTGACGCCTGATCCCCCCGCAGACCCCTCAGCGCCCCCAGGCCCTTTGACTCACCTGAGCCTGCCGGACAGCTCGGAGGCGCGGCCGCAGAGCGGAGCCGACGGGCGGAGCCTCCCGGGCAATTGGACCAGGTAACGGCGCAGGCAGCGTGCCCGAGGTGGGGACGGCCAGACGGCTGGAGCGAGCGGAGGCGGCGGCCGCATTTAACCGGGGCTGGCGGTGGGGAGGGGGAGCGCGGGCTGCGACCCCTCCTACCGGCAGGGAGCGATCCCCTTTCCTCGGAGGGCTGGGGCGGGGCTAGCGCGGCGCCCCTGCTCCTGCCACCCCGGGAGCCGGCGGCGCGAGCTGCAGGGCCGGATTTCGGCTCCCAGCGGGAGGCTGGGCGGCTCCGCTCTCCGCCGCCGGAATGCGTCGGAAGCCTCCGAGGCCCTTCCCGGAGTAGAGCCCCGAGGGGCGGAGCGGGGCCTGGCTCCTGCCGCCGGCGGCCTGGCCCCGCTTCCGAGGGAGCGGCCGGGGTGCTGCCCTCCGCTGCCCCCTGCGGGAGTGAGGAGAGGCCCGGGACTCTGATCCTGCGCGAAAGGTGAAGGGTTCAGAAGGGCAGCCGCAGGGTTCATGGCTCCCCGGGCCCCACGTAGTGGTCCCTCAAATCTCCGCCCTCGCGGACTTCTCCGCCGGATCTCTCCGCGATTGCTCAAGTCTTGGGCCTACCCACCACCCCTCGCTCCTCAAAACTCCCAGACCACTGGGCTCTGACTGGCCCCATCCCTGAATTGTGGAGGCCCTGTAATCAAGGGAAGAAACGTTGCGACAGGAACAGGGCCCTTCTCTTAGGAGAAAGGGGGTTAGGAGGATTGTTTTGACCCCCGAAGGGCTCAAATGTTCCCCCTGGGTTCTGGGGACACGGTTTGGGGGGTGCTTCCATGTTTCCAGGCTTCTGAGGGCAGGCAAGAGAGCACTCTGGGCCAGGGGGTCCAGCAAAACTCTTCTCCCTGGCATCAAGAGGTCACTGGGGTGCACCCCCTCAAAGTACAAGGAAACCATGCACCCTCACATAAGTCTCCATCCCAAGGCCGGCACAGTGTGGCCTTTGTGCCCCTGGGGCCTCTCCCCAGTGCTGCAGGGGGGCATGACACCAGGCCTGTGGAGTGGCGCCTGGGTGGTCCTGGTGGGCTCCGTGCAGGCCTCATTGAGTACCTGGCAGCCTAAATATTTAACCCATGACTTACACTCAAATCCCCTCTCTTGCCTAACGCTTCCCCTCCCTGACTCCGAGTGGGGCAGAACTACATTAGCCCCTTCCCCCTATGCATTTCATTCAACCGGCTTGTTGGGTTCCATGCCACCTCTCCCCTTAACAATCACTGCTGTCCAGCCGCCGGCTTGCCCCTACTCCCAGGTCCTCCCCAGAGCGCACCCCGGTGCTGAGGGAAGGCGTGCGCCAGTGCCTGCAGCAACGGTGTGAGCAGACAGTGCGGATCCTGCACGCCAAAGTGGCCCAGAAGTCCTACGGAAATGAGAAGCGGTAGGAGCCAAGCCCTTCCAAGAGGCCACCTTCCACTCTACGCTTGCCTCCCAGTTCGGTGCCTTTTAGAACCCTGGGGAGGGCTCAGGGCTCAACTCTTGGCCAATCAGGAGCCTTCTTCCTCAGCCCCCACCAGCCCCCATTTTGGAACCTCCCTGTGAATCTACAGTCCCCACTCACTCACTCATCCACCCATTGATTCCTTCTTTCATTCAACAACTACTTAGTGGGCGTTTAGCAGGTGCCAGGCTCTCTGGACAGTGCAGGGCCCTGGGCATACAGCTCCAGAAGCCAGATACAGCCCCTCCTCTCAAGGCATCTTCACTGTAGTGGGGAAGAGACAGACCACAAAGTCCCCTCAGTGAACAATATCCTTCCAGATGGAGAGAAGAGCTAGAAGAGTGATAGAACAGCATAATGTAGCAGATACTGAAGTGGGGGCACGTTAGCTAGACAGGTCACGATGGTGGACAGGCCTTTTAAGGAGGTGACATCTGAACTGAAAGAGAAGTCAGACAGGAGAAAATCCAGGAAAGGTGTGTTCCAATTAGAAAGAAAAAATGCACACACCTTGAGGCTGTATGAGCTTGGCCTGTCCTGGTACAAAAGAAATCAGAGGGGCTGGAATTAGGAAAGGAGAGGGACGTTGCAGGGAATAAAGTCGGAGAGGTAAAGCAGGGGTGCATCAGGTGAGGACTTCGGATTTAAACCACCGAAGGATTTTAGGAAGACAAGTTAACATGATCAACTCGTGCTTTTTAAAGAAAGGAGAAGACAGTGTGACTGCTTTGTGCAAAGCAGGTTGGGCGGGGGCGGGGGTGGAAGCAGAGAGAGCCGTGGGAAGGCTGATGCTGTGGTCCAGGCAAAAGTGATGGCAGTTGGGATTAAGGTGGAGGTGGTAAGAAACCCGTGGATTCTGGATGTGTTTTGAATGTGGAGGAGACAGGATTGATTAACGGGTTGAGTGAAAGCAGTGATAAAAGAAGGTTCAGATGTTAATGGGGTCCACAGTCATGGAGAAGCCCCAGGAGGGCGGTGGGAAAGGTGGAGGAGCAATCAGGGACTCTGCCCCATTTATGCTGCCTTTGAGATGTCTAAGGGACGGTCAAGTGGAGATGGACGTGCGAGTCCCGCGCTTGCTTGCATGTCTCCGCAGGTTCTTCTGCCCCCCGCCCTGTGTCTACCTCGCAGGTCCCGGCTGGAGGGTGAAGCCAGTGCAGGGCCAAGGTGAGGGCGGACTCCTGGGCTGCCGTGCGCCTCCCTAGGC